GCCCCCCCCCCCCCCCCTCATTTTCCGCAGCCGACAACTCATTCAAAAATCAAAACAAGGAAGCGCCAAGCTCCATGCCTCATAGATCATCTTGAACATCTTCTTGGTGAGTTACTAAACCCTCGCGAACTAAATCCTAAATCCCTCAACTTAAACCCTACCCTTTCCTGCGTGGGCTTGGATTGTGTGCAAGCCCCAAACCCCCAAACCCTAAATCAACGCCAAAACCCTAAATCAACCCCAAACCCTAAACCCTAAATCAAACTCAAAACCCTAAATCAACCCCAAACCCTAAACCCAACATTAAAGCCCTAGCGCTGTGACAGGATTTGGGAGACGCAGTCCACTCCGCCTCTCGGGCCAGGGCTTCCTGCCCCAAACGATTTTGTTTAAGGGGCTTTAGGGGTTAGGGTTTAGGGTTTAGGGTTTAGGGTTTTAGGGGTTTAGGGGTTAGGGGTTACCGTTTAGGCTTTGCGGCTTTAGGGTTTAGGGTTCAGGGGTTAGGGTTTAGGTTTTAAGGTTTTAGGGTTTTTGGGTTTCGACTCGTGCACTCGCCCTCAGCGTGGCATTACGAAGTGTGAGGTTTTAGAGGGGGTGTTCTGCAAGAAAAAGTCACAAAAAGAAGGCGAAGACTGAGAATCAGAGTTGAGATAGCAGTAATTGCTCTGGATGGTTTCGGAGATAAGGCTGTGAGGCGAACGGGCATGAGATTCAGGCAGTTGATTTGGGGTTCTAGGGTGACGACTGAGATTTGGAGGGCTTGGGATTCAGGGCTCAAGCGCCCCGCCCCCAGTCTCGATAGTCTCTCATATCCACAGCTAACTCCTCGAAACCCTCACATGGCTAGTTCTCTGAATTAGGGTACCTTTTGGCTTTTGGGGTGCTTCTTAAAAGGGTGCCGTGCTATATCGGGGACCCAAAGAGGAAACTTATTTTAGAGAGCTACCTACATGGTTCTGAAAGCTCGGCCCGTCAGGAAAGTTTATTGCAGTTTCATGTAACGTTTCCTAGTTGATCCGGCATCACAAGCTTGAGTGCTACCCTGCATCCTACACACTCCCACACAGTACGTAATGACCCTCAACCTAACCTGGACTATGCTTTTCCCAACCTGGAATGCCCCATGCCGTCAAAACCCCGAACCTGCGAGACCTCGAAAATACGATGAGGCATGAAAGGCGGTTGTATAATCTAGGGGCCTTAATCATTAGAATATGGTTTTTTGGGTATATCATCCCATAGTTATAGTAAGGAGCCCCCAAACTAGTATAGGTAATTGTTCAGGCCCCTATATTAAGGGCCCTAAGCTAAAAACCCTAAACCCTAAACCTTAAATTAAGGCTCCTATACTACTTAACCCTAAACCCTATAAACCCTAAACCTTAAACCCTAAACCCTAAATCCTAAACACAAAGTTGAGGTTCCTAGTCAGGGCCTGTCGTCGGCGCTCGAGCAATCGCTGCTTCCGGGCAGCCGACTGCAGAGCGAAACCGTTTTGAGGCTTAGCAGTTAGGGTTTATGGTTTAGGGTTTAGGGGTTGAAGGTTTAGGGGTTTAGGGGTTAGGGGTTTAGGGTTTAGGGTGGGCTTAGGGCTTAGCATTCGGGACGACTGTTTGCCATCGCTGGGCCTCTTGCCCACAAGAACACCACCAAAATCCTGCCTTGCCAAAAGACTTATGTAAGGAACTCAGAATCAGGAACCCTAGACATGTAGGTTTCTTTGGGTACTGCCCCCATACAGTAACAGTCTAGAATAGGGCTACTATTAAGGGCCTCATATATCCATAATATAAACATAATTCAACTCTTACTGAGTGGGGGCAGTACCCAAAGTTTTCTTGGGGTTCAAGCAGGCGTTGGGACTGCCACAGGGTGCCACAGGGAACTTGGAGGCCGATATCTGAAGCTTCTGGGTCGCTGTAAGACGATAAAGGTTTAGGGTTGATGGTTTAAGGGTTAAGGGTTTGGGGGTTCGGGTTTAGGGTTTAGGGCTTGGGGGTTTAGGGTTGATGTGCTTCTTCACTGTTCGGAAATGGCTCACTACGTCTATGCTGTATCTTAATACGATTACGACTAAACTCGCGACTGCTGACTACCAAATGTTCGGTTCTGTGTCAGGGTTCACCCTCAGCCTAGACGTGACTGCCGCGGTCTCGCTTAGCCCTTTATCCTCCATCGCACAGGCATCCAGGTGTACCAACCAAGTGTGGCCTACCCCTTGCTCCTCCTCCCTGGAAGGAACAGTACTACAGATTGCTTAAAGTTTAAAGTCCAAAAAGTCGCACAGCATGAACAGTGCCGAACGTTTTGAGAAGCGCAGAAACACGTCTGAACATCCAATGCTCTTCGACTGGTCATGATTTGGGGCGGTTTTCCGCTTATCGAAACCAGCGCCTTATTGCATACTTTCCATTTTTGACACCTGAACAGTTCAGATCTCCAACACTCTAGTGGTCAACTGTGGCCCTAAACCTTTTTGCTGCAGGCTTGCAGGCAAGAAGGCCTGGTAGCTAGCCACTCTTCCGCCAGCTAGCACTGTGCTCACGAGCACAGTGCTAGCTGGCCCTAAACCCTAAACCAGGGTTTAGGGTTGAGCGCTTTAGGGTTTAGGGTTTAGGCTTAACACTAATCTCGAACCGCTGATGCCAAAACCTTATTCGGGTCACAGGCTTGCGATGCAGGGTTTAGGGTGGCGAGATCCATTGGGAGGCTCCCTTCAGGCTTTGGGGTTTAGGGTCTAGGCTTCGGCCCTACATAAAAAACCTTGCGTGCCCGCATTTTTCGCCCTGAACCCTAAAGCCGGAAGCTAAACTCCCAACAACTAGAATCCTGTGTTCGTTCTGAAGGCCTCTCGCCGGTCAGAGTGAGGATCGCCAAAGGGCTCGAAATCGAACCTCTCCTCACAAACTATCATTGACATTCATTCCAGCTCTTACAGTACATTGATACTTATGACTTGAGCATTAGGATTTGGGAGGTTTGCAGAGCTTGGCATGGACCTGTGGATCCAA